GCAAAATGGAGCCAGGAAATGGAGGAGGAACTGAAGAAGGAGCAGAATAGGAAAATCACCAACACCAAGGAATGAGTGATGAGCTCCAGGAAAATTTATTATGGTAGTGCCAGAGGATGAGGCCAGAGAAGAATGTTACCATCAATTTCATTTACTCAGACCTGAGTGGGGCATCTTTAGATATTTAATAAATTCAAAGTCATCCTAAGAGGTCATGGATTTTTCATCATGGGGGTTAGTAATACTAGTAGCTCACATTCATCAAATGCTTATTATAAGCCAGGATCTGAGCTGTGTGCTTTATGTGAACCATTTCATTCAATCCTTGCAATAGCTTCCAAAGTGTGAATGTATTAATCCTCCTTCAAGGATAAGTAAACTGAGGTTCAAAGAGATTGAGTATTTGCCAAAGGTCTCAAAGATGGTGATTAACATTTATTGTGCTGTTCTTAGAGCTTTGTGCGTATTCACTCATGTTTTCTTCACAATATCCTATGAGATAGTTATCTTTATATTTTACTCCCTTTATCTTCTCACTCTGTTTTCAAGCAGATTAAAAAGTAAGGCAAAGAGAGGTAAAGTAATATGATCTGGTCAAATAGTGAACAGTGACTTTGAGATTTAAACCTAGACCATCAACTTCACAGTCTTAACCACTATACCACATTGTTTAGAAGAATATATGGCAGACCCTGAAAGCTCTTGTAAAAGAAGAATTTCACAATCATTTAGAGCTAAGAATTCCTCATTAAAATAAATGTAGGATTTCTTAAAATCATTTCAATTCTTCAAAGGGCATTGTCATGGACCTAAAATGGGAGGCAAAAGGTGAGTGGTCTCTGGCCCCTAGATGGCGACAGAGCATGAGAAACTGACACTGAGACCAATTAGATCTCAAAGAAAATGGAATATCCAGGACTGGTGATCCACAGTGGAAGGAGGGCCAATACTGGATCAGTAGCAAAATGTGCTGAAGTGTTTATGAGTGTGTTCTAGTTAAAGGGTCCAAGTCTGGCTAGAATAGATAGATAACTGGCAGTTTGTCCAAAAAAGATCCAAAATACCATAATTGCTTTCCAATTAAAGTCCTTAAAACTGGCTGTTTGCACAGGAGGCAGAAAATGACCATATAATGACTGACTGCCTTTAAAGATTAAAAAAAAAAAAAGTTAGCAAGATTCCTGGGATTAACAAATGAAATTTACTTCTTTTAGGCACTATAGAATTGCCTGAAACATGAAGAGCCAGGCATGCATAAGGGGACCTAAAACCAACTAGAATCTAAGTTGGGAATCCAAAAACATGTATCCATTACTGTTACAAACTGATGTAAAATGCCTTTTCTCTGAGAATCATCTATAAAATCATGTTGTCTGGAAAAAGAACATTCATTTGATGATATATACTCTGGTTTGATGACATATGGAACATGCTGTAAGCTTCTTATTTATGTATTTTGATTTTTTATTGATGCATTATAGCAAGCTTCTTATTTTAAATAGGCCTTTCCTTAATTTGATGTCAATATATACATTACTTATTTTAGTGTCTATCCCACCAGAATATTAGCTCCATAAAAAACAGGGACTTATCTGTTCTACAGTTGTACCCTCAGAGCCTGAGTCTTTGCAGGAATTTTATAAATATTTGTTGAATGAACTCAGACATCAATATGGAAATAATTAAAAATTATTCTTTAAAAATATAAAGGAGCACAATATTTCTATATAATACTCTGGCCACATCTATTTTTATGCACTTATTGTTGAGTGTTGGCTGTGTCAACAGTAAAATGAAGTTTCTTTTAGAGATAAAAAAGGCCTCTATGTCATGAAATGGTACCATATTTAGGCAGCCTTCAGCAAGAGGTAGCTTAGGAGTCTAATATTTATAAAAATATGATGGAAAGAGAAATTATCCTCACTTAATGAATATTAAAATTTAGATTAATTTGTTTAAAAAATATATTATCATATTTCAGTGCATTTAAAAAAATATACTATAGAGAGACATCTGCTATAGGTCAAGATGGAGCAACTGGGACTGAACTTAGGCTATCTCACCTAAAAAAAAAATCACAAAACACAGACAAAGTATATGAAACAATAATATTTAGGATGCTTGACCTCAGACAACAAAGGGCAGTGATATCTGAAAATTAAGGTTAAAAAATATGACAGTTTTAAATCTGTCAACAATCACATTAAATATAAATGTTCTAAATATCCCAGTTAATATACAGACATGATCAGGCTGGACTAAAAAAAATAAAATAAAATAAAGACCTCAAAGAAGTGTTCAATACAAAGACACAAATAGGCTAAATTTAAAAGGCTAAAAAAGGTACTTCATGTTTTTTCACTAAAAGAAAACTGGAATGACTATAACAATAGTAAACAAAGTAGATTTTGAAGTCAACGTTATTACCAATTAATCCAGAAGACATTAATCTTGGGATTTGTGTATCTAATAACAGAGCTTCAAAAATAATTGAAACAAAACTGATAGAACTATGAGAAATCGAAAAATCCACACTTATATTGGAAAGTTTCAGTGTTGAAAATCAGAAAGGATATAGAAGACTTAAATAGTCTCACTTTATCTGTGGTTTGCTTTCTGTAGTTTCTGTTACTGTGGATAACTATGTTCAGAATATATCAAATGAAAATTTCCAGAAACAAACAATTCCTAAGTTTTAAATTGCATATCATTCTGAGTAACATCATGAAATTTCACACCATCCTACTCCATCCTACCTAGGATGTGAATTTTCCCCTTGCCCAACATATCCACCCTGTATAGGTTACCTGCCCATCAGGCGCTCAGTAGCCATCTTGATTATCAGACAGACTGTGGTGGTACTGCAGAGCTTGTGCTCAAGTAACCCTTATTTTACTTACTAATGGTTGCAAAGTGCAAGATTAGTGATGCTGGCGATTCAAGTATGCAAAAAAAAAAAGCCATAAAGTGCTTCTTTTTAGTGAAAATGTGAAAAACACAATAAGATATTTGGGGAGTGAGAGAGAACACATTTATATAACTTTGATTCTAGTATATAGTTCCATATTGAAGTGTTTGATTTTCTGTATTATTTTCACAAGTTAAACTGTTTTAGCAAGTAACTCACCTTGGATATAATCAGATACAGATGCCCAAACTATTAAATGCCTTTTTAATAGGCAAAAAGCAATTACCTTGTGTTTTGTAAAGAAGATGGTCTTCAGTCAGGCTTATCTTGGTTGGGCAGAGGTCTAAACTTGTTTCCTCCTTAGACAGCTTTATCTTTGGGGAGAACATAAAGGAAAGCTATGTTCTTTCATATCAAGAAAGAAGTTCTTATCAAGGATAACTTGAGATATCCTTAATTTTGCCTGTCCCTTCTGACTTCAGATTGTGGGAAACCCACCAACCTCTCCCTCCCTTCCTGCTTCCTTCCTCCCAGGTGCTTTTTACCATGGAAAACACCTAACCCACATTTCCAAAACCTTGCTGCAAAAGGGAGCTTGTCTGGAGGCACATTTCCAAATCCCAAAGTTTCATGTTTTGTTATCGTTTTGAAAATGCCTTATTCTACTCCATAAGAATCCTTATTAGTTTTAATATAAAATGATGACTCAATCATCTGTTCCCTAAATATTTCAATTAAATGAGACTCCAGGAAGTTGTAGAGGGACCTTTGCATCTACCTGACCTCCACCAGGGACATATGTAACTCTAAGTTTTCTAGAAGTGGCCTTGGGCCCCCCTCAGATCCTGGTGGCCAGGATGGTAAACTGTTTCACTTTAGGTTTTTCCTTCATGGCTCCTTCTCTATTTTTCTATTTTAGAATATTTGCACATGTTGTACAATCATTCTTTTTTTTTAATATTTATTTTTTAGGTGTAGATGGACACAACACGACTTCTTTATTTTTATATGGTGCTAAGGATCGAACCCGGGTCCCCCTCATGCTAGGCGAGCGCTCTACCGCTAAGCCATAAGCCCAGCCCTGCTTGTTTTAATTATTCACCACTCAGTAAATTCTACCCCAGAAAATTTCTAATATTTTCTTTCCAATTCTTTTCTGATTACTTCAGGGATATTCTCATCCCTCTATGCTCTCTCATCCACTAGGGGCATATTTAATAATGTAGTTCTTGTGATACTTATAAACTAAAAGAAAAGTATTAAGTTTGGAATTCAAATTAGATGTTCTGGGCTGGAGATGTGGCTCAAGTGGTAGCACGCTAGCTTGGCATGCTGGGCCGGGTTCCATCCTCAGCACCACGTACAAACAAAGGTGTTGTGTCCAAGGAAAAACCAAAAGATAGATATTAAAAAAATTCTCTCTCTTTAAAAAAAAAAATTAGATGTTCCAAAGAAAAAGCCCATTCACACTTACTATACACAGCCTTGGCCATATTGTTGTCAAGGTAAATTGCTTTTCTTTATACTTTGTAATTCAAGGTATATACAAATAACTTTCAAGTTCTGTTTGGGCTAAAGTATTGCAACTACATTATTTCTTACTATTGATATGCAAACTATGCAGGACTTTGACAGTATTGGGGAAAATTAGCTTTTCTAGGCTAACTTGGGAAACTACCCATTTTTGAGTAATGGATACACAACTGAATAATTCTTACACAAACCATTTGTAAGCTATTGTTCATGGTTTGCTTATATATGAAATATCAATCTCAAGTTCACAATGATTTTGATTTCTGATTTGCTCTAGGCAAGCATCAAAATAATGCTCAATCAAGGAATACATTGTTTGAATGAGTTCATGAATTTTCAGGTCCTGTGTTAATTTGAGCTGTTTTACTTTTAGAGGCTGTGCGTATGTATGTGTTATTTATGCAAAATATATATATGTACATAAGTAAATAGGATGGCTCTAACCCCATGCTACCTCACCTTAGCGAGAGGTTTCCAGGAGAGATCCAGATGCAAAAAAGTAGGTGGTACATCAAAAGGAATTTCAATACTTTCTTCTTTCTTTTTCTCTGTTGGCTGAGGGGTTAAAGGTTTCTGTGGTCTAATATCCCAGAAACATATGGTGCTAAAAGAAGGTTGACAGACATCTTTATTAAATACAATTAAGAGGTTTAGTCTCAGCACCAACATCAGTGCTGATACACACCAGCAATCTGACTGTGGCTGTTCTAAGGTCTCTGAAACTAATTTTTTTTTTTTTTTTAAGAAATAGGTCAGGTTTTTATTTCATAGTTTAGGGGATTATACCATATATCAGGTTTCTTAATGACCTCCCTTGTCTAGAGATTAATATTGCCATATGTGAGAACAGAGTTTAGAAACTGATGCAGTCTTTTAAATATGAAATTAAGATACGTCTTATAAGCTAAAAATTCCACCCATTTAAAGTGTATGATTTAATAGATCCATCAGGTCTCCCTTCCTCATAGCTGTTGCTTGCTCAGGTCACTTTTTCTCCTGTCAGTTTGTATATACTTCTGCTGTCTTTAATAGTACAATAATAGTATTTAAAGGTTAGATAAATAATAAACTCTACGGTGGGAGACCAACTTTACACATGACTGAGTCACACTCCCTGGCTGGGTGCTGAGGTGCTCAGTCACAGAAATGTGGCAGAGCTTTCCCCACCCTTCTTGGGTGTGGGGGTCAGTGTCTTGTGCATGGGTGTGTCTTGCTGCAGCCCCATGGGTGAAGCTATGCTCACCTGTTCCTTTGTAATTAACCCCTTGCCCTATTTAGGATAGAATCTTCCATGGAAGTGGCTTATGTGTGTCCCCTTCTCTTACTGTGCCCTTGGGTGTGACCTACCCAGGTGTCAGTCAACCTGCTGACAGTGGACATCATGAAGATAGACTCAGCCCCCTGAAACCTGACCCCTTGCCTCATTTGAATAGCTTCCCTCAATAAAAGGGGTCAGCGTGTGCTTTCTCTCTCTCTCTTTCTGCAGATCCTTAAGATCAGAGGAGCCATCACAGCGACCCTAAACAAAAAGGTATTTGTGTCTCTTGCGTGGTTATTTCGTGCAGCCCAGTTAGCCCAGTTTATCTGGAGTGACCCCTGAGCCTTTTAGTGGCGCGAACAAAAACCCGGCACTCTACATATTTCCTACATTGTTATAAATTCTTGGTCCTATAAATTAAAGGACAGAATTTTATTTAAATGATTATTCACTACCAAGTTGCTTATAAAAACACTTTTTACAAATGTACAAAGAAAATGGAAAAACTCTTCTACTTTTTAAAAGCTTTCCCAATGAAACGTTATAATCTCCCTAAATGTGAGATAAAATTGAATGTAAATATCACACACTGCAAATTTATAAATAAGAAAATGTGAAGAAGCATAATAACTATAGATAACATTATACACTGTTATCAACCATGAATCCTGGTTAATTCCCTTTTGTTTTTAAAACAACATACCTACTGCTATAAAAATATTTTTACACACTAGTAGCAATCTATACCAGTCTGCCCTTGAATTATATTAGGGTTAATTGTTATAATAAAGATGAGTTAAAGAGCACAAGACAATGTTCTTAGGAACAAATAAGAAAAAACAATACATTGGGTGAAAACATTTTAGGTAATGTTTGAAATAAAACATACCAATCTGCTGAACATGTGGCAAGCTGACAGCATATTCCATTTCGATTCTCAAAGACAGAGCCCATTCTGTTAATCTATTTTTTAATGCAAAAAAAGTCAATTCTGTATATCTAGAAAAGTAATAATTTTTTTCTCATAGTTATTTTTATATTTTTAATTTTCCTCTTCTATTTTAATATAAATTTTAATAAAAATCATAATACTACCACAAGAGTTTGGAAAATATGTCTTAAAATCAAATATGATTTTGTCACATATTCTTGCCCAGTCACAGAAACATTTTTAACATAGTTTTAATTAGAACACATGTAAATTTTTATCCTCAGAATTTTCATTTTACATAACTTGAACATTTACCTGGGTATATGATGGATTATTTTAATAGTTTCATAATGTATAGATGATGTACTATACTTTCATTATTGTTGGAGTGAAGACCCTTTTAGTTCTTTTATATTATCAATTGTGGAGTTAAACATAGCAGGTTTTATGAGGTGGTTGAGCAAGTAAAATCAAGAAAAGAGGCTAATCTTGGTGACTGGGATAGGAAGAAAGGAGGGGTTGCTGGGACAAAAGGATGGCTACTTCCAGGCCAGCCTTAGCAATTTAGTGAGCCCCTGTCACAAACAAGCAAACAAACAAAAAGAGGCTGAGTGTTAACTAAGAGACCAGTGGTGTCCAGTGTCGGTAATTACTGGCGTAACTCTGCAAGTACAAGGAGGATCTGCAGGAGAGTTGATGACTCCCCCTTGTCCTAGAAGCTCTTAAATCTCAATTAACTAGCTGTCAAGGCAAAAGCCTTTGGAGGCAGCTTGAGAAGAGGCCACTCTTGAATTAATAGGGAGACATGATTTCCCCAGTTCCCTCCCCTCCTGATAGGGATGAGGAACAGAACAGTGAAACAAAAGTGGGACTTCCAGCAGCAAATAAGCGGTGAGAGCAAGAGTGGAAGAAGAGGACAGAGGGGGCTCTGGTTAGGCCTGGAGGCAGCACAGCAGCTGGGCAGCCACAGACGAGGCTGACACCACTGTGGCCTGAAGGCCTTCAGGTTGTGGAGCTGCGGCCAACTTCCCCTTGAATCTGATAGTCCGTGCACCAAGATCTCCCTTAGCCGAGGCTCCCTATTGCATGAAATCAGGGCCCTCAGAGATGTGACTGCTCTGGGATTTTATGTTTTAAAACTAAAAATTCCTAAAATCATAATATTACAGAAGCTTGGAGAGCAGAAAGCCTTCAAATCAAACAGAATGCTACTTCGGCTTCTTTTCCAATCTTCTTTCATGTGCACACTTTGACATGAGTCTTTAGGGTGTGCATGTAATATTCTATCTTGAGACACAAGATAAATTGAATCAAATATGATTTGGATCATTTCTTAAGTTGAATTCCCAAAATTGGAATTACTGGTCAAAAAGCTTGAAACTTTGGATGACTTAAGAACTACACTGACTAATTGCATTCTAGAAATTTCATATGTCAGTCAGCAATGGTAATGGACAACATTTTTAACCTTTCAAATACTACTTTGTATTAAAGAGATTTCATTCTTTAAATTTTAATTTAAAAATTAAATAGATTCAAAAGAGTAAGTTATCTTTTCTTTATTAATTTGTTTGATATTAGAAAGGCTGGGTGATTTTCATGTTGACTCACTGTTTTGTTTGGTGTATGTTTTTGCTTACTTATTGAAAATTTTTATAATAACATCACATTTAGTACAAATATTTTCCTCCATTTCATTATTTACTTGTTTTTAAATTTATTTTGTGGTGCCAGAAATTGAACCCAGGACCTCATGCATGCTGGCCAATATACTCTACCACTGAGGTATACCTCCAACCTTACCTTTTACTTTTAATCTAGAAATTTAAATGTGTATACTTTGAATCTGTCAATTTTTTCCTTTATCATTTCTTTCATCATTAAAAAGCTTAAAAAACTATACCCATTCCAGAAATCTGACTGTTTTTTTAAAATATAATGTTATTTCTATTTAAATGTATTGTCATCTGAATTAACTTGTATGTGTGATATGAGTTAAAAGAGTTATTTTTCTTGTGTCATAACTTCCATTATCATATGTAAAAATTTTCAAAATAATAGAAACTGTATGAATTGTTTATTTTGGTCTATTATGACTTTTTAACAGTAGTTTTGTTTTACATAATCCACTTGAATACCTGGTTGAGCTAGTAACTCTCAAAAATGAATTTCTCAGAATGTTCTTTGATATTTACACTTGTTCATTCTTTAAAGTACACAGCAAACCCTAGTGTCCTTGAGGGAAAACATGTGGGGAGTTTGCTTGTTTTCAAATTCATAAAACTACACTTTGTGAGGCTAGAGTCAAGCTCAGACACTCAGTTGGGGTGGTCAGCCAGGCATGCTATTGTGTGGCTAATCTTCACTAGCAGCCCTTTGACACACACAACTCAAAAATGCCTTGGCAAAGCTACAGCTTACAGTGTGTCACAGATTGTTAGGGTTGCCTCCCCTAAAGACCTGAGATCATAAATTCTAAGTCCACAAATGCTAAAGGAGTATAATATTTGCACTTAAGTTTTGCATATCACACCCTCATTTTCTCCACCATCGTACCTGTATCAATGTTGATACTAACTACAGTTTTCGGTGGTTAAAACTATCCCTAGTTGGAAGATTGACCTTATTCAAATCCCCAACTTCTGACACTGATCTGGAAATGGTGACCCAGTTTTTGATGTTAGGCTCCTGTTATTCACCCCACCCCACCCCCCCAATTTAAATATAAATGAATTATTGACTTGAAACACCTACTTTGGATAAAATCTGAAAATTTATAATCCAGCAGGAGAAAAGTATAAAGCCATCAAGACTCACCTCGAACGTGTCAGGCAGCCAGTGTATATCTGTAATTATTTTCCTATGTCCACTCTCTATTGAAGAGACAGCACAGTGTCTGATGAAGTTGGACTCTTTAGGACTTTCCGGTTCAAGGAGAAACATAGGCTGAAGAAATGTTAAAGTCACATTTCAGAGAGCTGATGAGTGAACTCAGACTCTACTCATCATTTCAATTAAAATTAATAACTTGAAGATATATCAGTTCAAGGGAAAACATAATTAGTGTTTCTCTATAGTGTATATTTATGTAAGATTCTTGATTTCCCCTTAAGTTTAGTCTAAGATTTTATTTCTAAACCTAAGTATTGTTGGCACACTCCTGAAAGCATCATTGGTCTATCTCAGTCTTGAAGGAGAATTTCCATGTGTGCACAGAATGTGACATTGACCATTCCTTGGGGTTCCGGGGTGGGGGTGGGGGTGAGGGTGGGTGGGGGGATGTTCAATATGGTGGCCAAATACTGAGTCAGGAGCAAGAAATATTTTTCCAGTGCTTTTAAACAAAATCCACAGCCTCACAAAATTATAGTATATTTTGACCAGAAAGGATTTGAAATCCATTTTATATATGAGAACTAATTCCTGATGAAGTAAGGTGATGTGTCTAAACTCACCCACTGTGAGGCAGAGCCTGGATACCTGGCCCTCTGTTCAGGGCTCTCTCAAGACAGCACATAATATAAATCACTTGGTCTCTTTGTTTACTTAACAATAACAACAACAACAACAACCCTCCCCCCAACATCTGGTGGGATAGATGATGCAACTTGTTTTGTTGCACTTTTAAAGGGTCCACACAAATGCAGTTTGGAACACATCTATGAGAAAATGGGAAGGCTTAGGAAATAACATTCTTTTTTTCTTTTCTCTACTGAGTCTTTGTTAAACTCGGCAACATTTTTGATGAATTCCTAAATGAGAAAAAATTTGCAAGTAAAAATTTTTAGAAAACCAACCTTGAGTGTGACCTTTTTACTTTTGCCACTCGCCTTAATGTTTTCTATGTGATCTGCAAATGTGGTGATGTCCCACAAGACGATCTAAAACAGAAATAAATGTTTTTTTAACACTTTCAGGAAACAGCTAATTGGATCTTAAAGATTTCTTTAGAAAACTATTGATATGCAGCCTGATAAATCAGTCTTCTTAGGTGATAATCAAATTTAGTCTATATCTTAATAAGCAACTTTTAAAATGAATATTAAAAAGGAATGTTTTCTCCTTTCTAAAAGTTCTTCAGCCATTGGATTTTTCTGCTTGTGATAATAAATGCCAATGTTTTAAAAAAATCTAGATGAGTATCATGTACTTTGCTTTGCTTTGGGAGGAATTCTTCTCCTGTACTTGTGAATGTACAACTGCTATAGACCCAGGGGAAAAGATAATTTTCCAAAATTCTCCAGAATTAAGTTCTCCAGAATTAAGTACAAGGCTGGTAATTGATGATTTCTATTTTTT